AAACCCAGTCTTATCGAAATAAGCCACTACACTCGTAAGCCATCCTTTGCACAGGTGCATGTAATGTCATGCCATGTATTAAAACGCAATTTTGTCACGGCTTACCAAGCAAATATTTCGGTTTTGGTGACGAACCAAAGTCAAAGTTAGTTAACGAATCTAAAATGAAAAAACATGAACATTTATGGCGTCCGAGAACCCAAATATTTCCTCGGAACAGTAAAGGAAGCGGGTCGCCGATTACCAGACAACTCTACGGAGATCACATTTGGAATGATGTCTAACACCATTAACGCTCGCTAACGGCGCGAGCCAATAGCTCCCGCTGAATGAGAGGGCAGGGCGCCGGAACCAAAGGGGAGGCTGAACACCCACTTTCTGAGAACCGAATGTTGGTCCTATCGCGTTCACGGAAAGCGGCAACTTAAAGTTCTGCCCCCGACTTGGGAGAGCATCCATCGCCCCTGTGAGAGTTAGAAGTGATCAGTTACTCTGTCATTGAAAAGACAGCGGCATGAAACCACGCAGGCTCACTCCGTTAAGCACCAGGCGTTGGGGCTGCACTCCAAGCCGCGTCTGGAGCCTCTGCGGTGTCAGCGGAGCTACAGTCGGACCAAACAGCAGACAAACACGCACACCTGGCCCGACACGAGCACACGCACGCGGCCCGCCCCGCGCCGGGCTAATAACCAGCTGCACCGTCGTCGGCGGCGTGATTGGCGCGGCGAACGGCCGCGTTGACGAGGGAGCAATAAGCGCATCACGCGGCGCGGCGCCACCAGCGGGCGCGCGCCGGCCGCTGTGACGGCGCGTGACGGCGCGTGACGAGCCGTGACGTGACCGGTGCCGTCCACCAGACGACACCAGGCACCGCCCGGACAGGCGCCGACCAAGAACATCCGACAAAGCCGCACGCCGTGCCCATCGACCCCGTGCGTGTCACCGGTGCCGCGGAAATGGTCGCCAGGCGGCTGCAGCGGCCCCAGCGGCCCGGTCCCCCACACGTGCGTGGTGTCCACGCCAGTCCGCGGGGCGCGTCGGCCTTCCCACGAGCGCGCGCGCGCGGCGGCGGACCGCAGGGCTAGCGGTGCTGCGGCCGGCGGATGGGACTGAGCGCGGCCGCCGCCAATCCGCTGGCCGTCACGCGCCGCCCCAGCTCAGTCAGCCCCAAATTAACGACATGCACGGCGCGGGACTTAGCGGCACGTGGCCGTTTGATGGCCACTGGCGGCGAAGCGCCATACGAAAAGAAAAAAATAACGTGACAAAAGCAAGACCATTTGTCAGAATGGATTTGACAGTGCTGAAGACAAAGCATTGTGGATGAAATTAACGCCAGGTGCGGTTTGATTCCACACACGCCAGATCCCAGAAGTGCTGGTCATTCAACACCAATCCAGACATTTCGAGGGCTCACGCTCGCTTGAGGACGATGCGAAAACCTCGCATCCAGTGGCGTAAGCAGGATTTGGGCTTTGGACCCCGCTGCTTGTTAGCAGTTTATAATGCCGGTAGAACTAAGAGAACATCGGCACATCAAGACGGTATTCCAATGCATCAAAATAATTTTCCAAATCAAGCAGGGCCCTTAAATAAAAAACCGCAACTTTTAGCACCGAAGAGGGCTATCTGAACTATTTTCCTGTCTGGAAAGGGGTTAAATTATGTTTTGACAATCTTTGCCCTCCCCCCCCCCCCCCCCCCCCCCTCCTGGACAAAATCTTCGCTAACGTCTCACATATATTCCACATCATGAATATGACCCCAAGCAAAGATCATGACATCATGTGTCCACACCATGATGTAGGTGCATTTCTAGTCATGAGAGCCGATCGATGGCTGACGTCTACAACAGCGTAGATGACTCGTGCCGACCTCGCACGGAATGACCGGACGGCGAATGAACACGGAAATCCGCATGCTCCAGCATCCCAAAAGGCGGGTGCCGCTGCCGTCCGCAACACCGTCTCCGTGGCCAGGGGACAAATACAGTAAGGGATTGCACAGCACCAACTCTGAATGTGCCCAAGATGCAGTGCCACGCCCCGCCGTAGTCCTGTTCAAGACTGCGGCGAGGGGACGGCCCTGCTGACCGCGCTGGACATTTTGGCTGCGAATCTTTGTCTATATTGTTCAACGGTCGGTGGGTGACAGGAACGTATCAGGGACGTATCGACCTGCAGTGCTGCCTGGCAGTGACAGGAGCGTATCAGGGACGTATCGACTTGCGATGCTGACTGGCAGTGACAGGAGCGTATCGACCTACAGCGCTGGCTGGCGGCTGCCGGCAGCTGGGTGGACCCCGTGGAGGGCGAGCCCGCGTGCCCGCCGGCAACTCACGCGACCGTGGGGCGGGCACGCCCGCACGCCGGGCCGGGCCGCAGTCAGCGGTCCCTCGCTGGGATTATGGAGCACACCGCCCGAGGGGTCTACGTTTATGAACGTTGGTCTACCAGGATTTAGACGTTCCCCTTATTGTCCTGGGGGCAAGGTATTATTATTATTAGGTACAATATTGTCCAATATTATTGCAAGGTACAATATTGTCCTGCATTTCGGAAATTTTACATGCCTTGAAACATTGGAAAGACCTTTACCAAAATCTAAAAATATCATGCATTCTGTTTCGGAAACTAAACAGGTCGTTCTGGAAACCGAACCACATATTTGACACGGACCTTTCTATAACCTAGTGTTGAACATAATTGGCACACATACATACACAAATCCTGCATCGCTTTTGTTATCCGAATTCGAATTCGCATCTGCATGCATTTGCCAGAATTCATTCCAGATCATTTAGTTTGCGGAGGCCTCCTGAATGACTGACCAGTGACAGTCAACGACTGAATACATCTCCCGATTGTTCCTGAGCTCCATCGTTGTTTTTTTAAGCCCGAGAACAGGTTCATGGTATTTAAATTTCACATGTGCACTGAAGAGGGTTCGTGGGATGAGCTTTGGCATACAAGAATTGACTGTGCGTGTGTTAGGAAAGCCGAGCTGCGGATGATTATCCTGAAGCACGCAGTTCATGTGCGAGAGCAAGGTCTGCCTATACTTGCTTTATATTTACGCGATTCAATTTGTGCTCGTTCTCAATGCAATACTTACCCTCATACATGAAAAATGTCGTCTGTGTATACTTTGTTTGGAAACTAGGCATGCATCTATGCGTTGTTAACGCTTGGTAGTCTCGCTGTCATGCTTTCAATGCTAAGCTCTCATTAACCTCTGGTTCCCACACTGAAATTATGGCCTTTGTTTAGGAAGCACCTTTATTTTGGCTTGGGACGGCAGTCCCCTATTAAAGGGAATGTTCCACACTTGAAGATATTGCAGCAAGCACCAGATGTGATGAAATAAGCTTATTAATACAATTGGCATGCTATGAAGTGGAAAAACTGCTCTAGACAACACAGATTCCTTATTTAGTGAGCATGCTCCTCAATGCGCCATTGTTTGATTACGTCATCGTATCTTGCACAACACTATGGAGAGGAAATCGACGTCCTTCATATCTGGAAATCTTGCTCACAAATATTTGTATTAGCTTTGATCGCCGTCAATGTCATGTCAGATGGTCAATGAAATGACAGGATTTTAATGACGTGACGTCATGCCTGCCTCAGTGACCTTGAAATAGTTGCACGAAAGGGTTGCACATTCCCGCGGGCACCTAGTTCAGAATTTAGAGGGGTTTGGATCTTGAGATGAGCAGAGCTTGAACTTCACCGAATTATCTCCAGGATGGCTATTTCAGTCCAAAACCCCATACACATGTTGAACACCCCAAGTCCCGCCCGCCCCCCTCCCTACTTGCACGTGACTCAGTGCAGCAGCCAGCGGCACGATTGGTCCTCCGTCAACCCGTATCACGTAGCTCTGACGTCAACAATGATGACGCCATGCCACCAGTATTCACAGCGCAGCGGAGCACCACCTCCGCTACCCTTTGAGACCTGTAACACCCGTTTATCTTCCTGTTGAGCGTCAAAAATGTCGCGTCAAGCCAACTATTTCTTTCACCATGTTCAATTTTCCGGTCTGCGCTACACCCCTGCTTCTCAGTTCAAATCCCAATGTAAAGGTGAACAACTCCCTTTTTATGCCGCAGTACACTAAGGCGGTGGGCATCCTCAGTTGGGGTGTAGTGCTTTTGAGGCATTGGACATCTCTTTCGTTTCCACCAGCCAGATGTGGCGCTCTAATTGAACTCTCAAACGTCTCTCTACCATCAGACCGCACTCCATGCCTGGGTGACAGGCGCCTCTGCTGGGGCATAACAGTAAATACGCTCCATCACTAACGCTGGTGATTTGGGGATTAGGGCGCTGATGTTAAAGGTCACTTTGCACCCATAACCGCTGGCAGATTCCGACGAGTTCAAGTGGTTAGTCTCCACCCACTCGTAAGGCTCTCAGCATACGTCTGGGGCGTATCCTTATCTTTGGCCTGGGGATGCCCCTCCACCCGGGCAAGACACACCCATGTTTTTAGGGCAACCCCACACCAGTCAGTCGTCCTTTCACTTGGGTTCAGAAGCGCGTTGTACCCGGGATTTGGTGCGCTCATCCCCAGGCTTCATATGATAGGGGCGCCTTTATGGGATGAAAAAGTGCCAAATTGTTCATGTGCTAAGGAGGTGGCAGGGATGTAAGACCCTCTCAGACGCCCGGCCCGCACAGCCGCGTAACCACATAGATAGGAAGTTCCAGACAAAGACATGAATAAGTTATTGCCACACAGTGGCCGTCCGTTTGCGTCATCTTTTCAAATCGCGAACAGCGAACGAGCCCGCGCAGTCAGCAGCCAGCATCCATCCGTGGTATCGCAGTCGGCAGCGCTTCACTGGCAGCGGCCTGGGACCGCGGCTGTGGGTCTCGGCCGAGGAACGGGTCGGCCCGCTTCAAGGTCGTGCGACGGCGGCGGGGCCGGGGGTGGAGGGGGCCGGCGCCGCGCCGCTCCCCATCAGCTGGTCAGATCGGGTCACCACTCACCCTGGCTAGCAGGCGGCCGCCTCGCACCGTCAGCCCGATGCCGGGCCGGAAGCGCACCACTACGCCCGCCTCGATCTCCAGAGCACCCGACGCCTCCACCAGCACGTCACTGCTGGCCACGTACGGCGAGCGCGACAGCTCCCAGCGCGTCCGTTGGCTGTAGATGCCGCCGACCTCCGTCTCGGCGCCAGCCAGGCTTACGGCAGCCACCAACACCAACGCCGGCAGTCGCCAAGCGTGCCCCGCCATGGCCGCCGCCCGCTCCCGGAGCGCGCGCGTGCTGTCCGTCGCTCCGGCGCACGATCGCCCACAGCTCACCGCGGCTCCGCCGCCGCACAGGCACTCAGCCGCCGCCGCGCCGCGCGCGCCCTCCCAGGCCAACCGCCTCACTGTTACGCATTGGAGGTTTAAACGCGGTCACGTGACTATGACGTCAGACAGGTACGAAGCTCCAGTCAGTCCAGGTGCTGGAGGGGCTCGGGCGCGTGGTCCGCACGAGGGCGGCGGTCGCCAGCGCCGACGCTGTGCTGTCGCGCGGGCGCGTATGGGGCTCGGGCTGCGTTGCTACCGTGACGGACGACAGAGCGCGGCCGAGGGGCGGCGACGGGAGTACAGGTGCATTGTCATGACCAGCTCCTCCCCGCAAGAGGCAGAGGGGGCCGCGGCGGAGCGTGGGCCCGTGTAGGACCTAATTGTAAGGGGGAGAGACGGGCGGTGGTTTGTGCGGGGTGGACTGGAGCGGTGGAGGCACGGGACCGGCACGCATTCACAGAACGGCCGAGTCGGAGTCACGGAGAATTTCTGATGCACAGGCCGAATGAGATTGCTCGTAGTCACTTCAGTGCAAGAGCCAACATTCGAACAATGTGCCCTTTCATGCTGAACACATATGACAGGATCATTAGAAATAATATTGTACCAAAGGCAAAACAGGTTTACGAACAACCGAGTTTATCCCGAAATTTAGATCCAGTCCAGCGGCAGCGGCAAAAACAAATCTGACCAGCAGCAGGTCCAGCATCGCCTTTTGGTGAGGTACTAGCCTCAGAACACTGCCCGCGTGGTTTTCACATCAGTAGGGAAAAGGGAAGCTGAGAAAGACGACAGGTGAGAAAGACACGACGATGGAGCTTGCTTTCGCCGTTTTTGTGTGGGCATTGGCCACTTGTCGGCTGCGCAGTGTCTTGAATGCGCTAGCGTACCCAGCGTTCGCCCCTTGTGAGGCCCATTTGGCGGCGTTGCAATCAATTTTGACATTCCATGCTCAACCATTTTAGCGCCCATTGTCTTGACGTATTACTTGTTTGACACAGTAAGGTTGGTGGCAGCAAGCTTATTTTAGATATAAGCGCTGAGGGCGAACAACACTGAAGGATGACAAGCAGCCAGCGCGAAATCCTTGAAGAAGCACACAACGCTTTCTTCAAGGGGAGAATACAATGAAAGTGGTGCTTAAGACAGGTTGCATCACAGCATACCGGCTAGCTACTTCGCGCTTGGGCATCTTATTCCGTCCATGCCCGTCAGCATCTGCTTCTGCTTTCCAGATCATTAGCAATAAATGTCCTAAAATGGCTTTAACGTCCAGACAAAGGGCCTGACAGTAGGCTTCTATCCCTCTGGAATAGATCCGAGGGAGATACACATGCTGTCCCCCGGGATAAATACAGATATATCCGCACAGTATAGGTTTACGGTGGACGTCGCTATCTCAGAACATCTCGTCATCAGCGGGTCGCTATCATCTCGAGTCCTGAGCTCCGGACTTCACGTTCGACGTTCAGCAGAACATCTCATCATCAGCGGGTCGCTATCACCTTACGAGTCCCGAGCTCCGGACCTCACGTTCGATGTTCGACTCGCTCTTCAGCATTATAATTTTCGTCGCATCGGGATGGCCTCTTCGTAAGTTGCGTGGCTGTCGAACCATTAACGCCCCCTACCCGAAAGGGGGACTTCGTTCCCCTTCACTCGCACAGAACGTCGCCTCCACCTGATCATTTGACCTGAAGATGGTCTACGTCTAAAAATAAATACCAGACATCTTCAGACTCCTTTTCACCTCTTTTCACGCTTTGTTCAACAAACATCTTCCATGCATACCCATATATTTTACACTGAAGTCTATCGATCAAAAGAATTACCCGCGATTTGTAAAACATAACACGTCCAAGCACGCATAGTGTCACGATAATTGTACATTGCAAACATCACGCCATAAACGTATTCATACTACGATGCGTTTTAAGATTACAGCATCTCTTTCATAAGCTGCCTTCCGTGCCTGTATTGTCTATCCAAGGTCCATGCTCTCATGGCGGCCCCATACTACGTCATAACCCGGCGCTAAATGTGCAGAAGTAGCATTAACAAACACACTCTAGTTAACATTGACTGGGCCTCGAGCCATTTCGTCAAGAATTCTCACAGCCTGCTGTCCAGGTTCATTACCAGGAATGAAAAGTGACAAATGGCGACTGGCAATACACCAGAGCGCTCAATACCCGTCGGTGTGATGGACAGTGAGCCAAAAACGGCATCGAAACATCGGTACGAATACACTTTGTAGCCCCCTACCCGCCATGCAAACCATTAAACATTCCTGAAATTAAATGTTATCAATGCCCTGGTTACAATTAAAACATGATGCGCACAGTCGCAATCTTTCGCTGGCCCTCAAGAACTTCAAAAACATACGTTAAATGATATGCCATGCCGGCACACTGGCCATAAATCAATCCGCATACCCGTTCATAGGACGCGAAGCATCCGCAAACCGAGGCGTTTGCGATTCCTTCAAAATGCGCAACGTAAAACACAGACTTATCACCACGCCTACAGCCCAACCCTCATAATTCCCCATGCCGGATTGAGCCCGGATCGCCCGAGGGTCTAAAATCAGCCATTCCATCGTGCACCGATATCAATTATGCACCACTCCAGGTGAACCCAACACATTTCAAGACAAGCAAGCTGTGAAAGTCAGCTGCCTTGGCAAAATACAACACGGTCAGATCATTTGCCGGCTGTGTTAGATCACCTTTGTCGGAACCAGTGTAGGCTTGTGCGGTGTGAGCACTTTTGGAACAAAAATGCGAGGTTTTCTCTCTCTTTGCGCATTAAGTAAAATCCAGGTCAATTCTACTGACTTAGAGCAGTCATGCAACTAAATTCACTTAATGTTACCTGAAGCAGCATTTTCAACTAAACACAAATGACCTTTCCCTGACACTCACCTTGGCCTGAGCACACACAGCAGCGTTTTTCGACGCCGGAGCGGTGCGATGTGCGGGCTGGCACAGCCATCATTACAAGCGCACATAACTGTGTTCTAGTCAGGACATTCCTGAGGTCTTTGCCCTGAGGTCACACCTGTGTCGCCGTCAGTTGCAAGGCAGAGGAAATGCCGTCAGAGTGAGAATGACCAGGGATACCAAATGCCCTTTAAATCTCACCGATCTCATGATTCGACCCCAAGATAAACATACATCTCCCCGCGAGGCAGTCGTGGCTGGCGAAATACAGCACGTGGTGCCGCGTTGGCACGCTGTGACAAAGCGGGGAGGGGCGGTGTGCGGAGCCGATGTCGGCTCGGGTCCGGTCCAGGCCGAGCCGACGTCGGACGGTAGCGCCGCCTGCCTCAGACCGCCGGCTCCCGGCGGCGGGCTCGGCCGGCGGCCGCCATCCGGCCGGCGCCACCGTCCGCCACCCCGCCCGGCCCGGTCGCGGTCGAGGCGGAGGTGCGGAGCCGATGTCGGCTCAGGTCCGGTCCAGGCCGGGCCGACGTCGGACGGTGGCGCCGCCTGCCTCAGACCGCCAGCTCCCGGCGGCGGGCTCGGCCGGCGGCCGCCATCCGGCCGGCGCCACCATCCGCCGCCCTGCCCGGCCCGGCCGCGGTCGGGGCGGAGGTGCGGAGCCGATGTCGGCTCAGGTCCGGTCCAGGCCGAGCCGACGTCGGACGGTGGCGCTGCCTGCCTCAGACTGCCGGCTCCCGGCGGCGGGCTCGCCCGGCGGCCGCCATCTGGCCGGCGCCACCGTCCGCCGCCCTGCCCGGCCCGGCCGCGGTTGAGGTGGAGACGCCCCTCGGCAGCACACCATCTCCACGCGAGCGGCGCCAGGCGCGCTCTCAGGCCGCACCACGGCCTACTGAGGAGCCAGCCAACCGTCGGACTGGCGATCTGTCCGCGGCGGCCTGGTCTCCGCGGACCAGATGGGGCCTGAGGACCAGCACCATGCTGAGACACTGGGATACAGCCCTAGCTACCACACTACCTACTCTAATCTAGCCCGATTGTCCCGGAAATCTGGCGTGCGGAGTTGTGCAGCAGCCGAGCTTGGCCGACGGATGCGGGTCCGGTGACGGCGCGCGCCGTGTGGGCGCGGCTAGGGCTGGCCGTCACCGAGGCGGCCGAGCGTCTCCAACAGGTGCTGGACGGAGGGCCGGTCGGGCGGGCTCGTGCTGCAGTGTACCAGCGCCAGCCGGCCGGCGCCGTCCAGTATGAAGTCACCACCCATCTGGTGCGGGTCGTCCTCCACGCCGCGGTAGGCGGCTGGCAGCGGCCGGCCGGCCGCCTTCTGGCCGCCGTAGTACTGCAGCGTGCTGTGCTGCCACACCTGCCGCACAAACACAGCTGCAGCGCTCCGTCCTGCAACACCTGTGCAGTACTGCAGCGAGCTGTGCTGCCACACCTGCTGCACAAGTTCAGCTGCAGCACTCTGTCCTGTAACACCTGTGCAGTATTGCAGCGAGCTGTGCTGCCGCACCTGCTGCACAAACACAACTGCAGCGCTCTCCCCTGCTGCACCTGCGCGGCACACGATCTTGCAAGCGTTCTCAGCTGCTGTGGAAATGATGTGGCGACCTTCCTTTAATTATTGCTCATTCGCCTACCGTCATTGTGTGTCAGACTACGTACTTCGTCGCCGAAATCATCCATTGATAACTCAGTCAACCCATACGCCTTCTCATCACTTTGTACTGACCATGTGCTCAGAGAAAGTGGGGTTTCAATAGCTATGGTGGAAATGACATGCAATGAAGGAGGTAGTTAACTGTAACAGCACAGGGGCAACGGGTAGTTGTGTGGCTCCTGCAAAAGGCCAGCAGCCCCTGATATGACCCGCCCAGCGAGGTCGCGATCGGCACGCATTTAGACCCTCCCGGAGATCGGGCGGCGCTCTATCGCCAGCGTATGGGCCCGCCCGGCGAGGCCGCCATCGGCACGCATTTAGACCCTCCCGGAGATCGGGCGGCGCTCCATCGCCAGCGTATGGGCCCGCCCGGAGAGGCCGCCATCGGCACGCATTTAGACCCTCCCGCAGATCGGGCGGCGCTCCATCGCCAGCGTATGGGCCCGCCCGGAGAGGCCGCCATCGGCACGCATTTAGACCCTCCCGCAGATCGGGCGGCGCTCCATCGCCAGCGTATGGGCCCGCCCGGAGAGGCCGCCATCGGCACGCATTTAGACCCTCCCGCAGATCGGGCGGCGCTCCATCGCCAGCGTATGGGCCCGCCCGGAGAGGCCGCCATCGGCACGCATTTAGACCCTCCCGGGGATCGGCCGGTGCTCCATCCCCAGCGGAAACAGTGCACTTCGCTTGCTGCTGAACGTGGGTACTTATCTGTACCTATCTGTTGCGTTACCTATACACCCACACGTTACCTTTACGGCTGGTACCTATCAATCTTGACGGCACAAGAGCACGGTCGGGAGTGGACCAAATTGATCTGCATGGCGAATTTAATACAGCTCGAGTGGATGTGGGTTGTTGTTAAGGGACTACACCTTTACATGTTGTATCATGTACTGTTGCAAGTCAAGTAATTCAAGCAGGCATGGTACAGGCACGGACGACACATCTGGTGTACCGCCTGAACGTAATTCAGAATACGACTAAAACGGTGGGCTCATAGCTGCTAAATTAACGTCCCAAATGTAAACAACAACGGCCAACGCCACACTTGCCCAGCAAACTCCCGAAGCAGCGTGTTGTTCTACCACACTTACAGGAGCCGGCAGAATGCTGTCAGGCAATTCTGTCGGCTGTCGGATCCATTCTGCGCATTGGTGTGATTTGTCCCGATGGGGTAGGGTAACAGTGTCAGAGGTTCCTACCACGCCGCTGTCTCAGCAACAGGCAAGTGAAGGCCGCAGTATAAAACCCCCCTGCGCTTCCCCACTGCAGCCCGGGCGCCACTACCTTGGCGATGGACCTGGCTAGGCCGAGGGCGTGGTAGAGCTTCCGCTGCGGATCGACGAGCAGCGGAAACTGGCAGCCGGTGTCGGCCAGCCAGCGCCGGGCGCCCTCCACCGAGCCGAATGAGACCACGAGCACAGAGCAGTCCAGCCGGGCGAACTCGGCCTGCAACGCGGCACACAGCGGGGCTCAGATATCTCACACAGGACAGCCGAGCTAGCTCGGCCTGCAACACGGCACACAGCGGGGCTCAGACATCTCACACAGGACAGCCGAGCCAGCTCGGCCTGCAACACGGCACACAGCGGGGCTCAGATATTTCATACAGGACAGCCCAACCAGCTCGGCCTGCAACGCGGCACGCAGCGGGGCTCAGACATCTCACACAGGACAGCCGAGCCAACTCGGCCGGTAACACGGCACACGGTGGGCCGCGTACCTGTCGCTGCTGAATGTGCTGCGTTCTCGGGCCGCGTACCTGTCGCTGCTGGATCTGCTGTGTGTTTGGGGCCGTGTACCTGTCGCTGCTGGATCTGCTGTGTTCTGGGGCCGCGTACCTGTCGCTGCTGGATCTGCTGTGTTCTGGGGCCGCGTACCTGTCACTGCTGGATCTGCTGTGTTCTGGGGCCGCGTACCTGTCGCTGCTGGATCTGCTGTGTGTTTGGGGCGTGTACCTGTCGCTGCTGGATCTGCTGTGTTCTCGGTCCGCGTACCTGTCGCTGCTGGATCTACTGTGTTCTCGGGCCGCGAACCTGTCGCTGCTGAATCTGCTGCGTTCTCGGGCCACGTACCTGTCTCTGCTGGATCTGCTGTGTGTTTGGGGCCGCGTACCTGTCGCTGCTGGATCTGCTGTGTTCTGGGGCCGCGCACCTGTCGCTGCTGAATGTGCTGCGTTCTCGGGCCGCGAACCTGTCGCTGCTGGATCTGCTGCGTTCTCGGGCCGCGTACCTGTCTCTGCTGGATCTGCTGTGTGTGTTGGGGCCGCGTACCTGTCGGTGCTGGATCTGCTGTGTTCTCGGGCCGCGTACCTGTCGCTGCTGGATCTGCTGTGTTCTCGGGCCGCGTACCTGTCGCTGCTGGATCTGTGCCACGTGGTCGCGTCACGGCAGTCAGGCGAAGTGTCGCAGCAGCACGAGCAGCCGGCATCCGGGCCAGTCCTCGAGCCGGCAGGCGGCGCCGTCGGCGGCGGCCAGCAGGGGCAGGTGGCGTGGCGCTGGCGAGAGCAGCGCCGGCGGCTGCCGTCCACCGGATCCCAGCCGGTCATCCAGCTCCAGCAGGAACGCGTCCCATTCGCCCTGACCACACAAACACGACCCACCGGCCGGTGAGACGCGTGTCAGGGAGCGGTGAACGGGTGGTGTCTGGATGGTGACCGGATGGTGACCGGGTGGTGACCGGGTGGTGACTGGGTGTCGACTGAGTAGTGACGGAAGGGGGATGGGTTGGGTGGTGTCTTTACCAGGCCAGGTGCCTACTGGGTGGTGATTACGTGACAGGCAAGGGTGAATGACGGGATGGATGATGACGAGATGGCGACTAAGATTGTGGTGATGACACTAAGATGGTGACGAGTAGCGAATGATGCAGATGTTTTCACAACTGCTCACTCTGGACCGTCACGAAACGGGTCAAATGTTAGATAAGGCTGATTGGATGAGCGGCATGATGACGTATGCAGATGAAAATAAGAATAATCTTGTGCCCATAAAAAATTAATAAGTTCGGACAAACACATAGGTATTTCAGCCGCGGGCTATCCCCAGTACAGGAAATACAGCAAACACTGGATCTAGACCCCAAACGTGATGCAGTAGAACATTAAAAAAATACATCACATACTGTTTTCGGGCCGTATGATAGCGAACAACTTTACCGGAGGGAAACTGCATTGCGTGACGGTGTCACATGGGAGAGGCTTCAAAAGGATCTAGGGGAAGTCATGGTTTTCAGTGTACGCGTCCAATTTCTGGTTTGAACTGATTTCACAGTTGTTAATTCAGGGACATCTTTACATAAGGGCAAGACGGATATTTTAAGCAAACTTTCAACAATTCCGTATGATGTGCCTTAGTGAAGTAGTCACCGAATGGGGTATTTTTGGTATTGTGCATTGCATCTCGTATGCGCTCGTTAAATCGATTCCAGACACCACGTTTTGTCTCACCAATGTAGGTGTTTGGGGGGTTTTGCACAGTTGACGGGTGATAAGGTATACAATATTTTCTTGGTATGCCATTTTGCCATCAACCCCCCGATGCAGGAATTGCACGGACTTTTCGCATCAGGGCAGGGTGGTGGGTCAAGCACCCAGATGGTCCTGTGCGCAGCTAATTACCGCTCTTCCAGGCAACGCGTGGTGGTAGCCCTGCAGCTTGAATAGCTCAGAATCCCTTCCTTGACAGAGCACTGTCTATGAACAGCAGACCGCTGTATGTAGTGTCCATAGCTTTGTGTCACGGGTGTATTTATGTCTGCGTAGGTCATCTGGAGCGTGTTTTGACCAGATGTTTACTCTGATGAATCATCCTATGTGGATAACAGCCTGAAGCCTTGCATCCGACGGAACAGCTGCAATCCGAGGATTAAAAAGTGATCATCTTTTCATATCAATGTGATATCCACATAGGATAATTTAACATAGTAGCGTATCTAAACAGAGCAAGTATCGGCTCAAAGCATGCTCCAGATGGCCTACCTAGACAGCGACACACCCCGTGACCCAAACTTTGGACGCCACGTACATCAGTCTGTCGTTCATAGACGGCACTCTGTCGAGGAAGGTACCCTCAGCGATTCAAGCTGCAGGGTTACCACCACGTGTTGTTGCCTGGAGGGACGGTAGAATATAAGCCGCGCACCCAATCACCTGAGCACTTGACCCACCACCCTGCCCAGCTGGAAAAAGGCCATGCGACTCCTGCATCGCGGGGTTGGTGGGAAAGTGGCACAAAAAATATTGTGTAACTCATCACTGGCCACCTATGCAAACCCCCTTGAGCACTTACATGGGCGAAACAAAATTTAGCGTCCGGGAACGCATTAAGGACCACATATGAGATGCCACACGCAAGACCAAAAACACTCCATCTGGCGACCACTTCATTAATGCACATCATACGGAAATTGTTGACACAAGTTCGCCCAAAATATCCTACCGGTATGTAAAGATGTTGATAAATCGAACATTGTATAAACAATTCGAATGAACAATTGGAAACCTACACTGAACATCATGACTTAATCCTGGATCCTTCGAAAGCCTTTCCCATATGACACCACCACATGATAAAATTTCTATCCGATATAGTTGCTCGATATAATGGGGCCCGGACACAGTGTGTGGTGCAATCATATTTAATGTTCTAATGCACGACATCTGTGATCTGGAACGAGGGCTTCCTTTGTCCGTGCACTGGGGATAGCCCATGGCTCAAATATATCGATATACACGTGTATATATGTGCATATATATATATATATATATATATATATATATATATATATATATATATACATACATACATATATACACACGTTTTCCGGGATTATTCATTCTTTTATGAGCGTAAAATATCCTTAGTTTCCTCCACATGAGATAAATCGCATGCCTCTCGCGACTCCCTGCTCCCTGGAGTCACTGCGATTCCGCTTGAGCCCACCTCGACATCGATCAGATGCTCCATGGCCGTGAACGTCTCCTTGCTGCGCTGGCGCCGGACCTGGTCGTCCAGCTCCTGCCGAGATGTCACGCCGTACCTGTCGGGCAGCGGAGCGGCGCGTGCCGTCACAGCCCACCAGCCACCCACGTCGGACGACACGGCACCGCCGTCCGCGGCCGCACCAGACCGCGCGCAGCCAGACGCAGCCGCGCGAAGCCACGGTCCTCAGCGCACATGCTAAGTACGCCGTCACGTGTATCACGTCATGTTTTGGTCGGCAACCAAGTTTGAGGCACGTAAGTTCGTCAACAAAACTAACCCGTGCAGACCGTCAATTCGAGTCAAGGTCAGTGAAATCCTTTAAACTTAGCCAGTTTCAGGTCACGCTGTGCGCCGCTGGAGTAAGCATACAAACCAGTCGTGATGACGCATATCTACTGCGATCCTCTGAACTCGTTTAGTTGTCAAGGTATCAAGAGTGAGACCCTTATAATTTTGTAAGCATCTGTTCAGGCTCAACTCCTAAACCAATCTACAAATTCAACGAAAGTGAATATATCGGCATATATCGCTAACTGATATCGGTGACTTACTGCGGCTATCGGTATTCAACTACCATCACTGAGCTTGATCGGTAAGAAGTTACATACATCAGTGACGTTGGGTTTGGAACGACTTACAAAAATATGTTTTTCGCAACTCACAAGGGATCCTGCGGTGAACTCGATTTTCTGCGAACGATAGCGACTGAAAAGTTACGTTTCTCATTCCACGGTGTCATGATGTGACTAGTTGCATACCAGAGCTTCAAGAAAGTCGAAGGTGTCAGCACTTATCGAGATCTGATATCCCACTATCATCATAGTGGGAAACATTCAAACACGACAGCTAGCTTTTCAGAGCACGATGCGACGCATGACTTCGGTTTTCAAGTTTGGGTTTTGAGCAAACTTTACAAAACGACGCGACGAGACGACAAACGAGATCGATTCCGAAAAAGTCGAGGGGCAAAAATTCGAAGGGCATAAAACTCCAAGAATGAAATTCGAATTCGGAAAAAAGTCGAAGACAAAAGTCAAAAGGAATACAATTTGGCAGGAATAAGTCAAACTGGAATAACGCGAAAGACATAAAATTCGATAGCAACGATAGATTCGAAAACACTTCTATGGGCAAACGGTCGAAATAGATAAATCTCAATTGGAAAAAGTCGACATGGAAAAAGGTTAGCCTGGAATACAATTAAACAAAAAAAAACCTTGACAAGCATGCAAGTAAACGAGCAGGTAGACAAGGTGACTTAAGACAGGAGGGACTCAACGATTTAACGCCTGACATGCAAGGGATGTTGCCGACTGCATTTAGATGCACCCGCGGATTTAATGGGTTTAACTCCCCCACATCCTTAGGCCTTTTAAATTGGGCCCCCAAACGCTCGCCCAGGAACACTCCTGGCAGGAAGCCAGCCCTTAACCCTTCAGCACCGAATCTTACTGAACGCGTCCTAAGGCAGGAAACCAGCCCTTAAGCCTTCAGCACCGAATCATACTGAACGCGTCGTAAGGCAGGAAGCCAGCCCTTAAGCCTTCAGCACCGAATCATACTGAACGCGTCGTAAGGCAGGAAGCCAGCCCTTAAACCTTCAGCACCGAACCATACTGAACGCGTCCTAAGGCAGGGAGCCAGCCCGTAAACCTTCAGCACCGGACCATACTGAACGCGTCCTAAGGCTATCAGGTGCACGATCTCCCTTGTGTATCCCGCTGGCTATGCAAATCTAGGCCAATACAAATTCCTTTTTTGACCGTTTTCTGCGACCGTCGCGAGCAACACAGACGCCGACGGTAAGACACGACCCTTAACGTCGGCGCCCGTCGCCAACCACGTTTTTCGTCATTTCTGGAGCTGGGCCGAGACGTGCCCGGTGTCCAATGCTGTTTCCTGGTTCCCACTTCCCATTCTGAAAACAAGTCCTCGCATCCCTGGTTCCGGTTGGTTATTTCATACACCTTGCCCCCTGGTTCCTCAATCCTATTGATCGTTTTGCAAACACAGCAACCTGGTTACTAGTCATTACCGGTTATTACGCAAATACAAAATGGTCAGTGGTTTTTATTGGTCTCTTCACAAGCACAAAAACCTAGTTCCTGGTTCTCATTTGCTTTTGATTAACATCAGACCCTGGTTGTCAGGTTCAATCAGTTCTTTCACATACGCTAAGCCCCGGTTCATGGTTCATTCTGTTTTTTTGGTTCCCATGGGGGATGTGTGTTCCAATATTCTATCCCTGCCGACTTTCATCCGATCCGAAGTTTGTCCCTATTAACTTTGATCCCCGGCAACCTTTTGTCCTTTGACATTCCTCGATTCCGTTGTTATCACCGTCAACTTGTATTCCTTATGGGCTTTTTGTTTTTCGATTTTTGTCCCTGTCGACTCTCTTCACTCAATGTTTTCCATTCGACCTTTTCGTTTGACTTTAGTTCGGACAGCGTCACGAGTTGTGCACCATATTACAGCTTCAATGAAACTGGAGAGATGACATATATGCAAACTAATGCTAGTTAAAACGTATAAATGGGCTGTGGTCACAGGTGAAACCATGTGTCAAAATTCTATAAATAGCTTTCGTAATGTATGTATGTAATGTATGTACGCGCAGTTAAAGTCAGGAAAACACAGTGTACAAGTAAGATTTACGTGAGTGGCCATCGGCGCGGAATAATTGCTAAGACCTGCTTTGCGTGCCGCGAACCCGTCCGCCGAAAACAGCTGTTCCAAGTAACCAGACATTCCCGTCCAGCCTTCCTTTCTGCGTACAGGACCACACAGTCACCGTTCTCGTGCCGCATCGTGTTGTGACGCGACTGCCCTGAGCCCAGTCAACTCCCTTTGGCTAGCTGGCAGCCCGCCTCTTTATGCGGTCCGGGCCAAACACGCGCGCATCAGACTGCCCATGCGCTGGACTACGATTCCGGCATCACTACTAAACATAGATGGGACAGCATTAATAGCGCTATTCCTTGTAGAACAAACAGGAGAGTGGAGAGATGGATGCAATATTTCGGCGACGTGCCTTCATCGAAACAAATATCGACAGTAGATCCCAAATTCGAAATATTTTGAACTTAGTATTGATATTCGTTTAGATAAAGGCATGTGACCGAAATATCACACCTATCTCTCCGTTCTCCAATTTACTCTACGAGGAATAAGGCTGTTAATACTGTCTCATTTATATGCATAATGCTCTTCGTAAATACACTTAACACCTCACATCGCTACCGAACCGTGTATCTTGAATTTACCTTTTGAAGAAGTCTGCATAGGATCCGATTAACTTTCCAAACATTCCAATCTTGTTGGAGACGAATTCATCCAGCGTCACTGAAAAGCACAACACCATTCCACTGTTAGCAAGTCCAGACATTTTAGCACTTACCGCCAAAAGCATTCTTAACTTGTGATTGTCACATATGTTGCGTACAGCCTGTCCTATTGTGCGTGATCCCGTAGAAGTGATTAAAACACCATCGCAACGGACCACCCGCATAAAACTATACGCTGTCTGAAACACATACTTTCCTATTGATCTGAGGTCGCTGATTCTGAATACCACGTTATATTTCGATTCATTTCTGCCGGGTGATCAAAGTTGTACCTCAATTACGTTCCCATCATGCCACCTGTGAAAATATATCGCCAATCGGCTTGACGTCACTGGTAAGCCTATCTCTACTACAGGCTGAGTGAGCTTTGCTTCCACTGTGACAAACGGCCGCCATAGGCCGGCCGGGCGCTGCATAACTTGTGCATTTGCATGCAATCTCTTCATCGTGCTACTCCTGCTGCAAAATCACTCTATTGCCGCTTTACCTGTCGCATCTGAGTGGCATGGATATTACGTAAGTTGTTCAGTGCATTGGCGAGGAGCATAATTCACGTAAATAAGATAGAAGTATTAGCCTTATTCCTCAGAGAAAGACCTGGAGAATGGAGACATAGTTGGGTTGATATTTCGGCAACATACATTTATCGAAGCAATAGGAGAAACGAAAAAAATGTCTTTTTTTAAAGAACAAAAAAAGAACTGAAAAACATTTCTGCTATTGTTCGGATAAAGCCATGTTGCCGAAATGTCAACCCAACTTTATCTCCATTATCCTGTTTTTTTTTTCTCACAGGAATAAGGCTAATACGACTGTCTTATCCATGTGGAATGGATATTGCAAAATTTTCGACTCGCGGAAAACGGTAAGGTAAAACGGTAAATGGTTAACTATAGAGGGCAAAAATGTTGGCCTAGCTTGACCTTATATGGCCTGATGATGTGCAAGCAACCGAAACGATAACAATGCACTTCTGGGTGTGATTAAACAAATAATTCAGCTACCCATCATTACGGAACTGTGCTGAGCCGCTCATAGGCCGTTCAGAACAAGCTTTGGGATGACCTCTCCGGTGCCCACTCCAAGGGAACGAGAGCAAGGTGAGGTCGCGACGAAATGTACCCAAATGGCAACTGCCCGTTTTAGGACTTGCTGCAGCTCAAAAAGCAATTTATTGCAATTCGATTTTCATGTCGTTGGACGAGATATTTGTTCGGAGATGTTTTAAGTAAGCCCAGTCCATTTGACATGGCGAATTCCATCTGGGCAAAACGCGAATAAATGCATGCCATGGATCAGCCAGGGTATAATGATGCAGGCAAGGGTGGAAAGAATCCTCAGATTTGCCGCTTGGGTAGCAATTACGTCTGCGCAGTTGAGACTAAAAAAACTACAAAACATGTACGGAATCGCCGCCATTTCTGCACCAGGTGTATGTCATTTACAAATGTGACTCTGCGACGACTACCAGACCCATGACGTCTGTGTTTTATAATACATCTATCCGTGGTTTTGTGATAACTAAAAACGCCAGGGTTCCATGTGCCTGTAAGGACAATGCGTTGAGACAGTGAAGCTGTCCAGCAGCCGGAAGCCCATGTTACAGCAGTTAGTTCCCCATCCGCATTAATTATTCGTAATTATGCAACACCCTAAACACTCGCACCAACACTGGGAATCCGGGGTTGCCGGCAGACCACACATTTTTAAGTTCGTCATAAAAAACAGAAAACATATTTTGCACGCCTGCCGCTAGTGCTATCAAGACACCCTACCGCGTGTCTTCTCGTGTCACCGCAGGAGTTGTGTTACCTTTGGTCAGCTCCTGCTCCGCTGCTCGCATGGTCGCCTCCAGCGCCGCCGCCAGCCCTCTGGCCTGGTCCGGTAGAGTGTCCGCGGCAGACATCTTCCTGCGCAGAGCGGATGGTCATGAGTAGTCACGCTACTGGCACACACCAGCAATATCCGGCCACGATACTGGCACACACCGGTGATATCTGGCCACACTACTGGCACACACCAGTGATATCTGGCAATGCTACTGGTACACACCGGTGATATCTGGCCACACTACTGGCACACACCAGCGTTATCCAGAGCTGTGGTGTCCAGCTATGGATTGCTACAGCTTATATGGCCCAGCTGTGGTGTCCTTGTACTACTGCCGACAAATACGGTGCTGCGCCTGACCGCGCAATCCTGATAGCCTGGTGCACGGCTGGCAGGACTCGCCGCCTACTGCAAACACATTTTCCGTTACGTCCTGACGTGACCACCTCGGACTGTGTCCTTGGCAAAACTGAAGTATAGGTGGTTAAGAACATACCACCGGTAAATCCCCCCATCCATGTTCATAGCAAAAGTATGACCTTTCCGGTAAAAAGAAAAAAAACGCATGACAACTGTTTTACCGAGACCGGAAACTGACCATCGAAAGCGATATGACGATATCATATGCGATACGCATACGCGGCGTCCGTGCCATGGCCCCGTGAGCACGTCACATGGAGATTGGAATATCCATGGATCTAACTGCATCCACATGTATCCACACTGTTTGTATCCACATGTTTCCGGACACAGCCACCGCCCCTACCAACACGGCAAGTAGGTGGTGCGTGTATCACTGGCGGCGCGAGCCCCCTGGATGGCTTAGGCATTCAGACGGGGCCTGGCCATCCAAGCAGATGCATGACTATGGTCTCTGCGTGCCTTTCTTTCCACATGCTCTCAAGCTTATGTCCTTCGGACCTAGGAGCCACGTACCCTACCTACTTGTACTGACGTCACAAAACATGAGTCATGTAGTAAAATCCAAATAGGAATTACGGACTTTTTGCTTCGTCTAAATCAAGCATAACTCTAGCATTTATTCCCGCTTTGGCCTCTACGTCGTGCATGAGTATGAACAATATTCTGGAATCAATCGCAAATGCGGGATCGCAAAAATGACGGTCAATACAAACTTCATACGGGGTTGTTATAGTATAGATAATATATAAATATAAATAATTATAATATAACTAATCAATACAAACTTCATGGGCGTTGTAATGTAATGACGTTCTATCGCGGTCTTCTCTCAGCTCCGTATTGTGATGCTTGTATCAGCCTGTGCTAGTACCTCAGAGCAGTGGTGAAAGTGGAATGTGCAAAATCGCGAGGAATAATGCATTTTTGGTGCGGCGCTTGAGTGCGAGAAAACCACGCCGACTATTTGTTATCAACCGATAAAAGATGTGTATGTAACGAATACAAATCAAACGATGTCATTACATTCGATGCTACATATCTATAACATGAATCAAGCGTACTCCAGGTGAACATGACCTTTCAGAGGAAAAAATTCGCAACGGATACCACCGGACGGTGAACGATTTGCACGACATACCTCCCACAAATCCAGCCTGGAGCCGCCTATGTACAATATGAATGCAAAAACCTTGTCTGGATACGGCAAACTGATGTTCCGAAAATGCCACCGAATCTCGAAGCCCTGCATGGAACAATCTGGTAAAAAGATTAACAAATCGGCGAGGGCTGACCCTGTTCCCAGCAGGAGAACGGTGTTAAAATGGAAACGCCAAATTTAGGCACGTCACGCAATTTACGCAATTTAATTTAGGCAATTTAGGCAAACATTTCACGCACCTAACACACACGGTCAAAACATTCCAGTCAGTGTGCAGCAGGAGCGGACCCTGACGTAAGGAGAGGCACATAGATAATGCGGTGAGGAAATGAACCTGGATACGTGTCTCTGGACAGGTTTCGTCTCTATTACATCAAAGGTATATCGAGGTGGGACAAATCAATCAAAACTTGACACTTTCATCTCTCAACTTTTGACGAAATTAGAATGTGAGGTAGTCGCACGCGTAAAATGTCCTTAGAAACGTTACCTCAACTTTTTCTTGTTGAAATTTTCAGGTTCCCAGACTTGCACTAGATACATGGGATCCATTTCTGTGAGAAAAGTTTACACGTTCTGAGAAGCTACGCAAGTTGTTCAGTGCATTAGCGAGGGACATTATTCACGTAGATAAGACAGCAGTATTAACCTTATTCCTCGGAAAAAACAGGAGAATGTAGGTACAGTTAAGTTGATATTTCGGCAACATGCCTGTATCGAAACAATAGTACTTCAGCTATTGTTTCGATAAAGGCACGTTGCCGAAATATCAACCTAACCATATCGCCATTCTCCTGGGTTTTCCAAGGGATAATGCTAATACTGCAGCCTTATCTACGTCCTGAGAAGGGTGCGCGAATGTGCCCATCAAGGAACCTAGCTTCAGGGGATGGGAGGGTGAACGTAGAACACCTAGATAGTACAAAGTCGAGATCGCCGAGCAGCAAATGAAAAAGCGGAGGAAAACTTATGTGCCTTAACATGATTACAGGAGGTATCCAAGACAAGTTTGGTGGGCTCCATGCTCCTACGCTTGAAGAAAATGGGACATGGTAGCTTTCGCTGAATCTTGATCAGTCAGCACCTTTTTGAAGACAGCTTACACGAATCTGAAGTATCTGCTTACAAATTCTTTATTTTACACAGAAGAGCAAAAAAGGGGGATATTAGTGTATAAAATGCAGAACATGAAACGTGAAATTACAGGCAGTATAAAGGATAGCGATAGCGTAGAATCCACTGCATCGACTTGGTCATGCCGAGGGGCACCAAATTACGCGAGTTAACTTTCTATAGGCTTCCGAATAGTTGTCCGGATGTGGACACTTAAATACATGAATAAATCTACCAAAGTATGAGGGGAAAATATGTGGTACTGGGACATTTCAACATCCCAGGCTGGACCGTACATTTTGGCCATTGTCAAATACATGCTACACCAATTAAAATTGCAAGGCATTGAGAAAAAAATTTCTGACTAGGTACAGGCTTGGCTGCATTACCAATTAACAAAGAGTGGTGCTCAATTGCACGCGGCCCCGGTGTGAGCTAGTAAAGCGTGGGGTTTCCACAGGGATCAGTGTTGGACCCTTTGCCCTTTATCATTTGTGTGAACAATACTGTGACAGGATTAGAGAGTAAAGCGCTGTTGATCCGTGGGATCTGTGACGACCAACTATATGACCCCCTGGTCGTGAAGCTGACCCGTGGGATCTAACCGTGCGTGAAAATACAAAAAGGTGGGATACTACCTCAGAGGGAATGTTCTACATTTCATCCATATATTGAGGCAAGCTTCAGATGCCATGAAGCAAGCTCACTTGTCACTTGTACGCTATTGGTTTTTCTGTAAATGTAAAAGACCGCTCGGAATGTCATAACTTCGCTTTTTAGTAAAGATATCCTCAGTACGCTATCGTTTAATAACGTTATGGAACGTCTTTAAGACGTCAGGGTCGCTGCCCGGCTGGTCGTGAAGGACTGCCACTATAGTGGACGGGCTGACGCACTTGCAGTATTTCAGCTTGCTGAAAAGTGGAGGGAACTTGCCGGTGCGTGTTTGCTGGATACAAATATTGTCATGCGCGCGTGTTTTTTTTAACTTTCCCGGGGTGTTCTTGCATATTTGTCCGTGGTTTTATATTCTTGCATTTATTTGCATGCTTACTAAGGCGCTTTCTTACCTGATTAGATTTCCAGCCTCATCTCCGGCACAACCGAAAACACTGCCAAGGTCCCTGTATTATGTAGCACAAAACGCGATTCGTGTTTCACGCGCACGCTTAACTTATCAATTCGGCTCAACACCAACTGGTGCTCGTTGATGCCACGAATCGTGCAGATATGCACCGGACACGCATAGTTCGACGATCATGTTTTTACTGATCCTCAGCACTACATAGCATTGAGGTGGCGGTATTCCTGACATTTCGATGTCATCATGCATGTCTCGGTCGCCTTCACATTGGCTGCGCGACATTCTGCACACGTTCGCCCGCGTCAAACCCAGGAGCAGAAGGCTTCAGGCTTTAAAAAGGACACGACTAAGGATTACATTGAATAATCTTCAAAATGGCTAACTCCCTTAAGCCACACACAAATGTTGACCACTCCCTTTAATGACCAATGCAATATGACATCAAAACTGTATTCCCTTCTGTGGCATGATATAATATGATACGTGGCTCATCGACAGTGACTGATGTGACATTCAAGAAGTTCAGGTGCATCAATCATCTAAACAAAACAAAAAAAGAAGAATAAAATGGCAGCATTCCGTATGTAAACGGCCGTTTAGATTCGCATAAAACGGCCCTCACAGATAATCTGATCCATTTTCACCGATAGCCAGTCGGCCGTCCCCAGAACAAAGGCAACTTGATTCGCGGTCGGTTGCTCAGTACAGTGAGCTGCAGTATGACTTCTTGCCACTTACTGCGCCATCTTGTGAGCGGGCACCGAAACTCCACCTTCCGTAGTTATAACCATATCTCTAAGACTGGGGGGGGGGGGGGGGGAGAGTTAGGGTTATGTTGATTGGAAGGATACCTGCTGTGGGCAGCCTGAGTTAAAATGCCATTTTGGGAGGGAAAACATGAAAAACATTTATTTTGAGGCAATATTTGAGGTAAAAATGACACTTTGTGAAAATCAGCAGGGTCATGTCCCCTCAGCCCCTCTCTCCACAATGCAGCACCTTATGAATGAGCAGTCATACACTTCAGTAGGATCTGTCACCACTGCACCTCCCCAGCAAGTCAAATTCATTTGTTGCATGAGTGGGTTGGTGTGGATTGGTGTGTATGTTTACCTATGACACCCTGTGATGTTTCATGTTTGTTTCTGGACAATGGACCAAGATATAAATGAATATATTGTTGATGGCCCAAACACTCTGCTTTCACATGTGGTCAAATGTGAATTACATTTTAATAAAGAACCACACTCACTGATGAACAGCTTTTCAGGACCAATCTTCATTAATCTGCTATGGGAAGTGAGAAAAAAAAGTGAGAAAAAAAAGTAAAGAACCACACTCACTGATGAACAGCTTTTCAGGACCAATCTTCATTAATCTGCTATGGGAAGTGAGAAATTTCAAACTGTCTGCCAACTTAGGTACTGAAAAGTGGAGTACAAAGCCAGCATTTTCCAAATACACATAGTTGTAACCCATGAGGCAGGAAAAGACAACAAGATGCAGGAATGCTAGTCATCCTTACATTACATGACCAGCACAGCACTGCTGTTCTGCAAAGCGGAGACATTGCTCTTCTTGGGTTACAAGAGGGATGGCGAGGATAGACACCACATTGGTTGGTCATCAGAGAACAAAAACACATGACTTGAGTAGACTGTAGCAGCTGTCCATTCATAAATGTCCGTACCAATAAACGGAACACAAATATATGGCTTTTATTTCCAAAGTGTATCCCAGACCACCATAATCCTTTGTTTTCACATAATAATTTATAACACTGTTGATTTTGTAGGGTTTATTTTTCCAAACCTCTACATAATCATGCTTGCATGCTTTACCTCAAGTTATGACATCTTACAAATGTGCTTTTGAACAATGCTTTGTGATGTTATAATAATGTCCACATGGCTAGCCCCTACCAACTCTTATGACACTTATCTGACTTTGATCATGTCACTGATGTCAAAAGATACCATGATCTGCTTTATTGTGACATCACAGCTGGGTATCAAAATTAAAAGATGACACTCACATCTGCAAGGAAGAACAAGGTAGGATTGAACTAATACATATCCTGGAACCAAGCTGATGGCAGTTGATCTAGCACATTGCATAATTTTTGCCATTGTACATAACTAAAGCAACATGCAGCATGCAGGCCAGTCTGTAACATTCAACACCAGACATACACTTAAATTGGTGATTTTTTGTTCAATTTTTGACTGAACAGCCTCAAGCTACTTGTGGGTAAGTCCACATCCTTTCCCACCACAGACATAGGCCATACTGGTAAGCTTGGCAAGCATATTGGTAGAGGTTGATCAGCAGACCAATAAGGAAGTATGAGCACCCAGAATGGCACTCATCATGTTTATTGAGCCCTGAATTCCCTTAAAAGTGTAAGACAACTTCACTAAGGCATAACATGGATGATAATCAATAAGGGCAAAGTTCAAATATTGGCTCATGCACAACCAAACATTGAATGAGGTAATGTAATCTCCAGAATAAAAACCACCTATGCCACACTTGATTCTCCGATAAAAATCGAAACCGTGTTGTGAAAAACTTATGAGACATCACACAGGCAACCACTCACTCAACCATCCCTCAGCTTACATCGACGCTAGCCGAGAGCTGCCGCCAAGCCCCACAACCGCAACACGCGTGACTACAGGCGCCGTCACGCGATGCCCGAAAACCGCAGTTTGTTTGGAAGTTATAAATGTACCTGACGCGTCAAATTGCCAACACAAATGCATTTCGGGAAAATGCGCTGCAAAGCTACCAAATTTGAGAAGTTTTCTCCTCTGCTTCCAGGCAGTTACCAGTGTACACGCAAAATTGGCTGGTGTAATTGAAACGCATGCAATACAGAAGTGGCTCGCGTGAAAAACAGGAGGGTCGAAATGGCTGACCAAACCTGTTGACAGTTCCATGCTCCGAACCCATGGCATTGATTGATATAAAAACTTCACCATTCGACGCCGCTTGGTTGATAGCCTATGCTTTTGAGAATATGGTGACCTTGGGGCAGGCCAAAGGTCAACAATCATACCAAAAAAGACACGAAAAATAGGTTTGCAGACGGCCTCATGCTCTACACCTAAGACACGATCACCATGAAACCTTCACCAATTGATGCGCCATGGTTAATATCCTATCCTTTCCAGAGCATGGTGACCTTTTGGATCAGGTCAAAAGTAACCAACAACGACCAAAACCATCGAAACTTGCTACAGAAATTTGCATGCTCGGAGCCTTTGGCACCGACCACCATGAAATCTTCATCAATCGATGCGCCATAGTCGATACCCTATTCTTTCCAGAACATGGCAACCTTGGGTCATGTCAAATGTCACCAAAAACGGCCAACCCCCAACCCCCAAATTGATTGCAGACAACCCCACGCTCCGAGCCTATGGCACCGATCCGCATGTGAATATAAGCAAGCTAATTTCAGGTGGTCTCGGCCGCTCTTGGAGATCTTGGACCTGAACTAAGGTCACTATATTCTGGACAGGATAGGCTATTGACCAGGCGGCATCGAATGGTTAAGTTTTTTATCAATCGGTGTCAAAGGCTCGGAGCATGGGCGTAGGAACAGGGGCCCAGGGGCCATGCCCCCCCCCCACTTTTCCAGGTCAGGGGTCAGCAGTGTTGACCGCCACCCTCCCACCACTTTTCAGATTAAGGTTGCGTTTAGCTTACTTTTGCACCACATTTAACATATGTGCCGATTTACCTACTTCATCAGCCATCTCTCTCAAGGTGCGTCATCTTTTCCTTGGCTTATTGGCCATCGATTAGTGTTACGGCCGCAGGCCAACGTCGCGCGGCCAATGAAGACTGGAACATCGGGCATCGATGCTGTTGTTATGGCTCGCGGACGCGCATGTTCAAAACAACATTACACAGTTTTTATTAGTAATCAATTCTGACTGAATTTTGAACATTTTAAGACGAACATGGACTGGCCATGTTACTGCAAATTTGCGGCCCCATTTTATCCACAACCTACGTTCAAGGAGATTTTTTAAAGCTCGATCACATTTTGTTAATACTCAAGCATCCTGACGTGTGCATTTCTACTTGTTTTGAATTCGAGCAGCCACATAATGACATGCACGGCGCCCCGGGTGGCGACAACGTCACCTGGTGCAGCGGGCGCCGCCCCGCGAGCCACCGCGGCAACCACCGCAGAGCAACATACGCCGTCCGCCGGTCGCGCGAGCGCGCGAGCCGGCCAGCTGCAGACTCCGCTAGGTGTCAGGGCAGAACAGTCAGCGACACCCCCAGCCGGCAGCCCGGTCCCACAGCTCCCTCCGAAGGGCCGAGCCAGACGGCCATGGCGGAGAATCGGCACCGGTAATGACGGCATGCAGACCGATAGCATAGACACTAACACACTTCCTCATGCGCATACGCAATCGAACACCAGCGGCAATGTGCCCGGTACTAACGGTGGTTTATCGCTAACTGCCTCATCTACACGATATAAGTGACCCTCCGTTAACGCGCCGCACAACCAGATGAGAGCACAGCCAGTCTCTCCAAGATCACAGGCCACGTCTGGTTATAAGTGTGAATTGTGTCGGTGCCTCTCAGCCACATGCCTCTCTACATCGGAGTACCTTTGAATAAACCCAAAGAAACCTCGGTTATATGGCTCACACGTCCCTCGTTGTCCCTTTGTGTGCTTTTTTGTGTGCTTTTGTCCCTTGTTCTTGCCCCATAGGTTCAAGCCTAAGTTCCCATTTTGTCTGAGCCTTGTCCGTTAGAGAAACATGAGCCGAGGATAGGAGCGCACTATATCCCCACTTCGCTGTTCCCACGCACTTGCTTATCTCCTCACAAGCGCATGGAAGGACTGCATTGGTGGGATTTTCCTGGGCGAGCACTTCCTTTCCAGAACGAGGTATAGCGTGCAGTATAGGCTGTCATGTAAGAAATGCCCCATATCCGGAATGCATTTACAACTGGTCTGCGTTAAGGAGCTTTCGGTCCTGGTGGTTGTAAAGGTCTTGTATTTGAACGACTGAACGGTGGATCAGTTGCTGCTTGTTCAATGATACATTCTGTTCCAGGTTCATATCAGTGTTATTCCATATGACTTTGGCCAGTGTTTGCTCCTGAGAGTCTGTGCTGTAGCGAGTGCACGATTTGCATCCAAGCAATTAACGCTTCTGATCAAAACATCCGTCTTACATCCATCTAGAAAATCAGCATTTTTTAGGATTGGTATCGCAGTGTATTTAATTATACTAAGACATTTATATTTAGGTTGTGTTGCAGTATTTTCTTCCATTTGGTGTTGTACTCTGGATTAAGCAACTTCTTTATCCAGGCCATTTTAAGACTGTCCGCCTTTGCTGATGGGTCGGGAACCCTCAGTCCTCCTACGAAAAGACAATTTTTCATCACCAACCGTTTAATCCTATCTCGAGATCGCTTCGAAGTGAACTGGGATATTATTGTTTCTATTTTCGTTAAGGACGCATAATTTGGCTTTTCTAGGACAGTCATTAGATACATAAGTTGCGAGAGAGCTTCTGACCTTATTACACGCACCTTCTCGTATGCAGTCAAGCCACGCCCAAACCATGCGTTAAGCTTGGTTTTCAATATTTCTATTTTTCCGGATAATTAATATTTCCCAGGTCTTCGCATATCGGGGTACGTTTTACTCCAAGGTAATCTATTGAGTTACGCTCCCACGATATTTCAATATCTGGACAAATGTCACCTGCTCGGTTTCGAGCTGACCTTTCCAGACCGTTCGCGTCTTCTGTCTGTTCAGGGATAGGCCTGACACATCTCGACAAGCATCCAGATACTTAAAACATGCCCTAAAGGATTGATCGGAACCATCCATAATAATAGCTGTATCATCGGCATAGGCTGAAGTCTTTATTCCTGCGTCACCGATGGTAAGCCCGTTAATGTCGCTACAGCTCCTGATTTTACGTGCCAAAGGCTCAATTGACATCAGGACTAGTAGGTAGCTGAGTGGACATCGTTGACGAAGGCCTTTGGCTATCACGTACGGCTTTAACAGATGGCCGTTTATCTGCACGTGAGCACTGCTCCGGGTGACTCCAGTCTGATCATATATCAACTTGTTCCACTTCTGTATTGTAGGTCCAAAACCTAGAGCTTTGACGGCACTTTTCAGATAACCCCAGTCCACTGAGTCATATGTCTTATGCCAATCGCAGAACAGTACCAATCCAGGCGTATTGTGAATCTTTGCGTACCGAATTATGTCGATAATTAGCCGCACATTTTCGCCTATAAACCTACCCGGAAGAAGCTCTGTCTGATCTTCGTTTATTATTTCATTCATTACTGCATTTAATCTTCGTGCCAAAGCTTTTGTTAATATTTTGTATTCAACGTTCTTCAGGCTGATGGGCCGAAGGCACTCCATTTGCCTTTGATCTTTGTTCCTTTTCGGTATTAATACAGTTATGCTGCACTTAATGATATTCGGAGTAGTTCCTACATTGAACATTTCAATCATAGCAGAAGAAATGAGCCTTTTTAAGTCGTGCCAAAACATTTGTAAAACGGTACGGTAAATCCATCTGGACCCGGATTCGTTGAGATTTTCATCGAGAGAAGCGCTGCTTCTAATTAGTCCACAGTCAGCTGACCCTCGCAGAACGATGCTCTAAGGTCGTCCAGGCGTGTTACGCCGTCTAAAAATTGTGCAGGTACGTTTAGGTTTTGGTCGGGGGCATATAGCGCCTCGAAGTACGTACGACTCTCTAACACTTTCTTAAGACCACCTGATTCATTTCCTTCCTCGGTAAGCTCTAGCTTTAATGTCTATGTTAAGGGCATGACAATATTTAATGCCCTTTTCTGCGAACTGTCTCCAGTTGGTTCTGCAGCCGAACATGTTACTTTAGTCAGTGTGGTAATCAAACTGTCACGTTTCTTCTTAAGCTCAGCAACTACTTCAATCCGTAAGTCCGTGTTCATCGCGCTGTTTACTTGAGCCTCTATTTCCATGAGTCTTTGTTCGACTTCCTGTTTTCTATGCCTAGCATATTGTAAGATCCAGCCACTTAGAACACGAAGGACAGTTGCAAGAAGTGTGATCATTGGTATTTCTTCGGATTCATTGTCAGTTATTATTTCTGTAATTTTTGACTTAGTTCGAGTCACGAACGTGTCGCCACTCAGCAGGGAATTGTTGAATTTCCAGAATGATTTCCCAGCTATCACGTGACCTACGGTGACAGTAGTATCACACATGCAATGATCAGACAGATAGGCGTCTACAATTGATGTCAAAGCTGGACAGCCTTCTTCCGTTAAAGATGCGCTTATTAAGAAAAAGCCAACCCCTGATTTCCTGGCAGGGTTAAGTCTATGACACGTGAACTATTTTAAGTCTGGGTTTAGAGCTCTCCATATGACAGTCAAATCATGTTCGGCCATATACTGTGTGACCGGTTGTTTGCTCCGGCGATTGTTTGCTTCACTTTGCCGTGTACCTTGTTTGTCTAACTTCGCATCGAAGTAAGAGTTAAAGTCACCTCCTATGATAGTGTGTCGTATGTTCAGTTCGTCACATTGGTCCGGAAAGTGTTCTAATGGGACAATTGTATGATTATTTGGACCGTGTATACAGCCGAGAGTGAGCTCTATCCCGTTTATACCCACCTGCTGTATAATGGATCGACC